GCCACCCAAGTTGGATAATTTGTAAACATGGTACTTGGGGCTATGTTGTTTATATCCTATTTTACCCCTTTTGTTGTTCTTCTACTTCCTGTTGTGTTTATATCCGAGCTTCTTTTTTTTTTTAAATTTTTGCAACCTGTATATTTGTATATCTTGTAAAGTACTGTTGACACGTGAGGGGCATAGATGATATCGTTCTCGCTTTTACGTTTGTTGAACTGTTGGTTATTCTACCTAAGTAGACAAAGGGTTGAATGTTTTACCTTTTTGACCTTTTTACGCATATGAAGGGATGGGGGGAATGGATAGCCAATCTTGAAATTTCCCCGCATTAATTAGCTGTCTTTGTTTTCCTTCATTTATATAATTTGTAGAACAAATTATGGAAGTCATTCCAAAATTTAAACCTTACGTAGCCACAATCTACTTGTGTGGACCTCGAACAACAACTTGCCTGTATGGATCTCGGAAGTGCTCCTTTTTCTGGGACGTCATCGTGGGATACAGTAGTCCCTGTTTCTGTTGCCACTGGCTGGGATACCTGGCCAGAACCATCTCGTCCCCAATCGGAGGAGCGAATTTATCACAGATTTGTGGAGTTTGATGATCCAATCTTGGTTTGTCCATCTCGTCGCAGCTTGATGGTGTATCCTTATGTACCTTTTGATCGGATTCGTTGTTTGGAAGACAATCTCCTTTCGACGTGGTATATCTTGACTCTTCCGACCAAAATAGTGCGGATGGTCCCTAACCCAATTGAGGGTGTGGGACTTAGCCCATCACATTTGGCAAAAAAGGCAAAGCTCTCCTCATCGGATTTTCATAAATTTGTAAATGAACCACATTTCCCTCCATCATTTGGTTTGGACCTCGCTGCACCTGTTCTCCCTCCAAATCCGAACTAGATTGAGGAATTGAAGCTCACGCTTTTTGAAAGACAACACTTTCCTGCCTACCATGCACCTATTCCCTCTTTGGATTATCAAAGGTTTAAGGCCCAATCCATTCTTGCAGCTTTTTCCCATTTATGCTTTGAAGTTCTTCATGATGATATTCCTTTAAAGAATCTTCAATGGGCTTGTGATATTATTTCGCAAAGCCATACTCTTGGTCCAATTGCTCAAGCAGAACTTTATACCTTCCTAGACCAGCTCCCACTCTTGCTTTATTGGAACAAGAACAATGTGATAACTTGCCAAGTCGTGGACAAGATCTTTGCTACTCATAACCGTACTCAATATGAAGCAGAAAATCTTCTTAAGGATTATGCAGACTTTAAGGATAAGGACTCGGCTTATTAGGATGACGTTCAAATGGATGAAGTTAAGATGGCTCTGAAACAAATAGAGTTTGAAATGAAAGTCGAATAACGCTTTCTTCGTATAAGAGCCCAACAGCTGGAAAAAAACCTCAGTTGGATAGGATAGAGGATAGGTTGCAAAAAGAATATTTATTCATCATGTCTTATTGGAATAAGTTCCATGATCTCATAATTTTTTCTGTTCCATATTTTTATGAAATTGAGGATGTAATATAATGAGTTTGGCTTTTATAAGACGAAGTTTTTATGATGCTACTTCGTGTTTATTCATTATGCTTCATAATTGAGTGTTATTACATCATAGTTACAAGGTTTTAATGATAATACTTCCTTAGGTGCATTGTATTCGAAGGCCTTGGGAGAGCATTCCCATGTTGATCGGCCACTTTGTATGCCCCTTCTCCGGCCAGATTAGTGATCTAGTATAGTCCTTCCCAATTTGGCCCAAGTTTGCCATCGACAGCTTTTCACTCCTTTGGGAGGACTTTTTTCAAAACTAATTCTCCTATTATATACCGCCGATGCTTTACTCGCTTATTGTAGGCCTTGGCTATATCTTGCTAGTATGCTGCCAGTTGTAGCATTACCTTCTCGTGTCTTTCTTCGATGAGATCAAGTTCACTTCGGAGTAGTTCGCTGTTCGCTCCACTTTTAACTAAATAAGATTTTCTTGTTTGGAAGTTGATTTCTAATGGAATGACGGCTTCTACCTCGAAGGCCAGAGAGAAAGGTGTCTCGCTTATGGCATGTCGGGGCGTTGTTCGGTATGACCAGAGTACTGTTGGGAGCTCTTTGGCCTATCTCTCTTTCAATGCCTCCAACCGCTTTTTGATACAATTAAGAATGGTTTTGTTTGAAGCTTCGACTTGCCCATTACTCTAGGGATAAACTGGGGTGGAATAACAGGCCTTAATTCTGTATTAGATGCATAGTTCTCTGTACATTCAGTAATCGACCTGTGTGCCATTATCGGATATAAGTGCTCTTGGTATCCCAAACCTGGTGATAAGGTTTCGCCATAAAAACCGTCGGATATCAACATCACGGATAGTGGCCAATGGGTCGGCCTCAATCCACTTTGTAAAATAATCTATTGCTATGATTAACCACTTTAGATTTCTTAGTGCGCAAAGCAATGGTCTGATGAGGTCCAATCCCCATTGTACGAATGGCCAAGGACTTGAAATGGGATTGAGCTCTTCAGAGGGTTGTCGGATGATTGGTGAAAACTTTTGGCATGCCGAACATTTGTGTACGAGTTGTTGTGCGTCACGTTGCATTCGGGGCCACCAATATCCATGCGTGAGCGCCCGATGAGCCAATGATATACCCTCTACATGTGCCCCGCATGATCCAGTGTGCATCTCATCCAACATATTTGTGACTTCGTTAGGATGTAAGCATTTGAGATAGGGTCCCAAATAGGATTTCCTGAACAGCTGCTTCGAATCGCTTAGCCAAAAATGCATAGCTCGCAGTTTGATCTGATGGGCCTCCTTGCTATCAGAGGGCATGGTACCATCAAACAACTATCGGATGAGAAGGGTCATCTAATTTTCCTCATAATGGATGAGGCATACAACTTCGCTGGGAATGTTAAAGGTGGAAATGGCCCCTATCTCGATTGTGCGTCATTTTGTCTGCACAATTGTCGTAGCCAAAGTGGCTAGTGCATCAGCATGGCTATTTCAGTCTCGCCCAACCTGGTGAATTTCGAAGGAAAGAAATAGCTCGGCTGCGGCTTTTTCTATTACCAGATATTTTATCATTCGTTCATCCCGCGTACTCGTCATTCATCTATTTGACAACCAATTGTGAATCAGACTGAACTCTTATGGATTTAGTGCCTAACATTATTATAGTTGTGAGGCCATTGATGAGAGCTTCATATTCGCATTCATTATTAGTAAGCAGAAAACCTAGGCGAGCGAATATTTCAATTGTCTTTTGGTGAGCGTAATCAGCACGAATCCAATCCCTGTACCCTTAGTGTTGTTAGCCCTATCGCAATCCATTACCCATATAGTGTCGGTGGAGGATGTGATTCCTGTTTTGCCCTCTACGGTGCTCGTCTTGGGTGAAAATTCGACTAGGAAATCGGCCAAAACCAACATTTTGATTGAAATCCTTGGTCGAAACTGAATATCATACTATCCGAGCTCGACAGCCCACTTAGAAATATATCCTGAAGAGTCAGATTGGTGCAGGACCTGTTTAAATGGAAAAATTGAATAAATGATGACAGGATGGTCCAAGAAGTAATGGCGCAATTTGTGGGATGAAACGACTAATGCCAGGAGTAACTTGTCTAGGGGTAGGTACCTAGTTTCTATGTCGAGCAACGTTTTGCTCACGTTAAAGACTAGTATTTGCTTATTTAAAGATTCTTTTATGAGTGCCAAACTTACGACATGATCGAAAACCGTTAAATAAAAGTACAACCTTTCCCCATCGATGGGGCTGGTAAGTAGAGGGTCACGACCCAAACCTGCCCCAAAAAGTTTGGTCCATGACTGGCCTGTACATCGACCTCAAAACAAAATTTCATGAATATTTATTCAAATACAGGGTCTTAAGCGAAAGCAAATACCAACATAAAGATAATGCCCACTGAGCTTGTGCATACATGAACACTTCAATTAATTTAAGTATTTAAAAACACTTTCCATATATACATATAATCACAGAACTTATATAGATCCCACACACAAATACATAAGACTCAATAAAATACACAATTCTCTAATACAAAGTTAAAGCCTCGACACAGGGGCGTAACCCGGGCGGCTTGACAAAGAGACGGACCTTGATACAACTCTAGTGTTGGTCCCTGATGGCTCACCTACACATATATAAAATAAAGGGGCGAACTAATGCCCAATGAGTAATATTAAAGTAAAGAGGTTAATGAATGATGTCCTTAATATTAGGAAAACATATTTCACAATTTAGAAACATGTCATAAATCTTTTCAAAACAAACATTTATCGTATCATAATCCATACCTTTTCGAATGGAATATATAATTGAATTATTACAAAACATTTTACGTGGTACGTGGTACGCCCACTTATACAAAAGGTTAGAAGCACATTTTAAAATAGGACATCCATTCATGCATATAAAATAACACATCATAACATGAGTCATATAGCGATGTCAAAACCTTTGTATTCATATCATATATTCTGAACGACCTCGGGTCCATGTATAACAAAACGACCTCGGGCCCAATCATATATCAAAATGACCTTCGATCCAAACGTATCATATCGTATCATTGTATCTAATCATGGAGTATATGGAACATCGACATGTCTTCACCACTCCTTGGGCTCAATTTATGTATGTATGGACTCAAGAGGTGTCTCGTACAGACTCTAGAGGTGACTCACACTGTAGCACTTAGTTCCGTACAACACTTTGTTCCATGCCCAAAATGATTAGGTCTTAAAGACCGAACAATTCATATCATGCCATAGCATAAGCGGGACAGATAAACAGAACAACCTTGGGCCCACCATATCATATTATAAATAATTCACGTTTCTTGTTCATAATTCATTTTGCATTTCTTGGAAACTTGTGCATTTAGAGAAAATCTAACATTTAGAGAATCATGTCATACATAAATTAAGAGAGATAATAAAAAACATATCTTTACTATACTAATACTCACAGTGATGGGCTCCTGGTAGCAGTGGGACGATGTCCTCGTCTTGGCCTACAAACACAATGCACGTAGCGCAATATATGAATACAACTGATTCCTTACTTTACTCTTCAACCAATTAGTTTGTTGGTTCTAAACTCATAGGTCTCCAATGGGTCATAATTCATATCAAGGAAAACAAGAAAAAATGAAAGGAAATTGGGTTAGGAGAGAAAATGGTATGAAACGGTTGGACAAAAAGTGAACAACCCTCACTAATTTGGGCATATCTATTTGTATACTTTGAATTTGGGAGTAAGACCATAACCATTAGAAACTAGACTTTCGGGGCTTGAATGTAAGCCTAAGAATCACTTAAAACGGAGTCCGGATGCAAGAGATATGCTTATTTGAAGTTGGCTAAAACAGGGTTGTCCTGCACTTGTGGGAAACAGGGCGGCACGTGCAGGAATTAAGCCGCACGTGCGGGACAAGGTGCTTTTATTTCAGAATCATTTTGGGTGCTGGAAATGGACTGTCGCACGTGCAGGAAGCCCCGCCGCACGTGCGGCTCTGGGCCGTCCGAAATCCTTGTTGGGTCTAACACTTGTTTTTTCTATTTTGTAAGCTTGGTTTCAACTCTAATCACCCAAAAACATGTAAAATTACCTAATAACATGATAAACTAACATTATTCAAGTGTAATTTCATCTCAAACTAATCAATCTTTGCCTCAAGTTCAAGATCAATGTTTCATCTTTCATAATCTTGAAAGTTCCCCACAAACACAACCCACAAACACACTTGATCCTTGCATAAATCTTGTTCTATGAACAATCTAGAGTTCATTTCATATAGTATTCATAAGATTGAGTTCCAATCATAAACAAAATCAAAGGACCAAAGTTCTAATTTCTTAAATTTTACTCAATTAAATACATAACACAAAACCCTAACCCAAATGGATTCCAAATCATCTACTCTCATTATGATTTCATGAAATTAAAGAATTAATCATAAGGATTCAAGATAAATTTCCATACCTTAGTTCAATCTTTGCTTTTCCCTTAACTTTCTTCAATTTCCCAAGCTTCCATGGTTGATCATCTTCCTTTCTCTTAAATCTCTTCAATTTGTGTTCAAATCCCATGAATGTTGAGCTCTCTCTCTTAGTAAAGCTTTCTCTCTCTTGTGCCCTATCTCTCTCTCTCTCGGTTCTCTCCCCCTCCTTTAGATATTTTTGGACTCAAAGTGATGAGTTCAACTCATATCATATATATATATATATATATAAGGTTATCACAATTAGGGAGCCAAACACACCCTTACGAATCGTACGAAATCAAATTTCAATTAAACTTCCCAGATGACTCTAAAAATCATATTGATCAAAATTATGTACTCCATTCTGGTTTCTGAAGCCTCTAAGGCCTTCAATTTGTAATACAAAGTTAACCACCCAAACATACCTTAACAAATCAGACAAAATAAATTTTCAATTAATTTTTCCAAATAGCTCTAAAAATTCCCATTAGCATAACCATATACTCAATTGCGGTTGCTGAACTCTTAAAAGTCGGCAATTTCAGATCCAAGGTCGTAACTCAATAGATAATTCTTCAATTCAAACAGATGTAATTAAATTAAGGCACATTAACCCATAATTACATAAAGATAATTTCAGATACACATTTTAGGGTCGTTACATTCTCCCCACCTTAAGAAGTTTGGTCCTCCAAACTTGATTTACCCTGTCACAAGTCCAGTTTCGTCTTGGATACACAACACCCTTCAATTATTTAATAGTTCACAATCCTATACAGTCAATCTCAATGAAGTCGTTCCAAGAATCAAAAGTAATTCATCATTCACTGGCTAATTGGTAACCCAATATATAATAATACTCAATAACATCAAAACATCATTTTATTAGTCACAACCCTCGTACATTTCAATTTATTGATCCACAAGTTATATACCACAAATGGTAAAACCATAATCCCAAGGATGTTCATGAGCTAACTCTCTCTCTATCCTTTAAGTTTCAAATCGGTCTAATGTTGATTGTCATTTGAAATCCTCAATTTAGGTTAGTCCATAAATCTACAGTATTATGCAACTCTCCATTGATTCCACAATATTCCTAAATATATAGTTCTTTAAAGAGGAAGAAGTATTCACTTCTCAATTTTGTTTCCAATGATATTTTCATTTTACACCCATTGAACCAAATAAACATATGAATCCTGGATCTATTACTTCATAGATCTTTGCCCACTAATGATTTAAATGCTCACAATAGTGGTCTTAATAAATGAGGCCTAAATTTTTAAATAACCAAATTTAGATTCAAGTCCTCAACTTCAATGGAGGCCCAAGTAATCAAAATTAAACTTATCAGTTCGAATCAGATTTCTCACAAACTCCAAAGAGCAAACCCAAATCCCGTAACAAGAAATTACCTGTTCAGATTGGACACCATGATTTCTTTTTCCAAAATAAATTATTAGTAAAATCAAATATGGATCAAACCCCAATTGTCGTAACTCCCAAATTACATTAAAATAACAACCACTTAAAATCAAAGTCTTCTTAGAGGGTCTTAAAGTCAACTTCATGACATCAAGCATAAAACGCATTGTCCATAAAACTCCTATGTTCTTGTTCCAATAACTTCAAAGTAGACTGAGCATCGCATTTAATCCGAATATTGGTTTCATTCATTGTAAGTCACAACTAACTTGCTTAGGCATGTTAACAATATTGACTTATTATATATTCTAATACTCTACACAAAGAACATTAAATTAGACCCATAAAAATTCTTAATACATAATATTAGCCTCAAAAAAATCAATTCCTCGTAGACCTAAACAATTCAAACAAAAGGATAGGGCCCAAATTAATCATATAAACAATTTGCTTACATTTAGTTTAAGCACTTAAAATAATGGTCTTCGTACATCGAAATCTCCTCAATCTAAATATGTCAGCATTTCAGCTCAAGTTTCTAAACTCTCCAATAGTTGAGTCACAAATCATATCAACCACAATGTACTACTTTCATCTATCACATTACTTAGTGTAACAACCCCGACCCATGATTAACACTAATCCATGTTTAAGCATGCCAAATAAGTAATTAAGAAGAAATCTTGAGTCAATTATATGTGCATTGCATTATTTTGTGCTTATATCTGTTTGACGTAAAAAGATCTCTTCATGTTTTAGTTTTGATTTGCGAATTGAAAGCCTTATCGGCATCCGACTCAGAAATTGACTTGATTTATGTGTTAATTAGGATTTATAGGATTTTATGGTAAGTTTAATTAAAATTCGATTTGGAACGATTAAATTAGAATAAATAATGTTAATTAATTTAGCATAAGTTATTTACATGTATGCCATTGAGTGAGCTTTTACAAGACCATTTTACACCGGAAAGAGAGTAGGGGGATTTGGTCCAAGACTTGAGAATTTGAGCTCAAACCAAAAGAAGTGCTAGGAATTATTGTCAATTGAAGAAGATTTGAGGATCTCAACTTCAACTATTGAAGATTCAAGCCTCTAGGTAAGGGACTAAACTTTTAATTGAGTAATTGAATTAGATTCTACAAGATCACTAGTGGATTAAGTGAATTCATGAGGGAATTACATTAGAATTGAGAAGAATTAGGCCATACCATGCATATATGTTCGTTTCTTCACAAATTGAGCATGATTTCAAAGAATTCTTTCATGCATGTGTTCATCTTACTTATATTTTGGGAATTCATCATGTTTTCTATCAAGTTGCCAAGTTTGATCATGTTTTGAAGAGGTTGGGTTTAAGAAAATTCATGCATGTTGTGTTCTTGAAACATTCATAAAGTTTATGTTGAAATTTTGTACAATTTGCATACTTTTGAGCCTTGATTTCATAAAATGATCTTTAAACCATGATGTTTTGTGAGTTTCTAAACGTTTTCCAGAATTTTGGCCCAAGAGGATGAGTTTTGGTGTGTTGAATTCATGTTTTGAAGCTTAGGAGCAAATCTGGAAAACCCAGAATTTTGCTTCCACGCTCGAGCGAAGGATCCTACGCTCGATTGACCATCCTTATTTTCATGCTTTCGTTTGAGCGACAAAGGGTTGGCTTGAGCATAAATTGCAAGCTCTTAGAAATTTGCGTGTGTAAAAGCACGCTCGAGCGACAACACTTGGGCTCGAGCGACAACACTTGGGCTCGAGCGAGGACCTGTGTCTTACGCTCGAACGAGCGTCGAGCGAAGATTTCATGCAACCAAAACTTTTTCACATTTTGCAGACCGCTCGAGCGAAGGAGTCTACGCTCGAGCGACTACTTACATTTGGCATGTCCGCTCGAGCGAAGAAAGCCACGCTCGAGCGAGACCCCTATTTCAGCAAAAATTTGGCTAAGTTTTTTTAGGTATATTTTTGCATCCTCATTCCATCCTAGGCATTCCTAGGCTATGATTAAGACACCATAATGAGGTTAAAGGTTAGAAACACACTAAGAACAACAAAATAAGTTGTGTTCAATCCAATCGTATGCTATGTAGGTCACGCGTCTTAAGACAAGTGAACTGCCCACCTTGCCATCTAATTGGAGCTATCAATTATTTGTGAGTAATAACTCCGTAAAGTTATGTTTAACTTTAATTATTTTCTGATGATACGAGATGATAAGTTTCTGAAATGTTATGTTTTGTGCAATGTTTTTTAAGGCGAAAAGCGAACCGAGGCGACAAGGTCTCCTAATGCATAAGCGTGAGGCGATAAGGCGAGGCGAGGCGAGGCGAGGCGATTTGAGGCGACCAAAAAGGATATTTTTTTAAAATAAATGGTATAGACAAAAATATAAATATTTTCAAGAACCATCAGCATAAAGAAATTAAAGAACATATTTTAACAACATTAAAAAACATAAAGAAATTTAAATAGTTGAAATTAATTGAATTAATTGAATAACCAGGAAATTAAAATAACTAGGAAATTAATTGAATTAAAATAAACAAATTAATTGAATTACAATCATTAATTGAATAACCAGGAAATTAAAATAACTAGGA